GCCAGGAGGGGTTGGGGTTGGGGTGGGGCAGCATAGGACAGGAGACGCCTCGGCGGGTGGGTGGGAGGAGAAGGGTGCGGTGCAGGAGGAGGCTGTCAGGTGGCTCGGGGCGGCGCCTGCCATGCATGCCTGTCCGGAGCGCTCGGTTGGGCTGATGGCGTGGCCTGGCGCGCCGCCCGCCTGGCTGCAGGTCACGGCGGGCGACGTGGTTGCGATAGACAAGGCCTCTGGCAAGGTCACCAAGCTGGGGCGCTCCTTTGCTCGGTCGCGGGACTATGATGCCATGGGTGCGCTTGGGGGCCTGCTGTCTGTGTGGTGGGGCAGGGTGGGGCAGGGTATGGGGACAGTGTGCGTGTGTGTGCTTGGAGGCGCAGGAGCCTGGTTGGGTGGGTGGGCGAGCGGGCGCTTCAGGGTGGCGGGCAGCCCCTTCTCTGTGCCTGTTGCGTACGGCAGCGCCCGCTGGCCCCGTGGTGCAGCGCACGCCTGCTTTGCCGTGCGGCTCGCCTCACCCGCCCCTTCCCCCTGCCCTGCCCTCTGGCCCCCGCTTCCTGGCCCGCAGGCCCCGCCACCCAAGTTTGTGCAGTGCCCCGACGGCGAGCTGCAGAAGCGGCGGGAGGTGGTGCATGTGGTGAGCCTGCACGAGATCGACGTCATCAACTCCCGCCAGCAGGGCTTCCTGGCGCTGTTTGCGGGGGACACTGGGGAGATACGGCCAGAGGTGGGTGGGTGGGGTGGGGCGGGTGTGAAGAGGCGCGGGGCTGCCTGGCTGCCTGGTGGGACGGAGGCAGTTGGCTGGGCTAGTGGGGAGAGGGGGAGAGGAGCCAAGTCCTGTCGTGGTGGGGCCATGTCACGGGCGAAGACACGGTGCGCTGACGCTTGCCCTGCCCTTGCCCCTGGCCTGGCGCCCCTGGGCCGCAGGTGCGGGAGCAGATTGACGGCAAGGTGGCCGAGTGGCGGGAGGAGGGCAAGGCGGAGATTGTGCCGGGGGTGCTATTCATTGATGAGGTGAGGCGGGGGCTGGGGGTGGCTGGCGGTGGGCATGTGCTGTGCTGGCACCATGTCTGGCTGGGCCGTGCGTCGAGCACCACCTGCAAGGCCGCCTTGCCAGCAGCAGCGGCGCCGGTCCGTGCCCTCGCCAGGGGCGCAGCCCGTCGGGTGCACGGCCACCTAAACCAGACCCCAAGTGTTGTGTTGATCGATGTCGATGTGTGGTCATGGTACTGGGAGGCAGGCGCCAGCGCCACGCCTCCATATTGCCCCTGCACCAAGCCTCCATCGCCATGCTGCCCCTCACCCCACCCCCTCCCCTCCCCCCACCCCCCTGATGCCCCAGGTGCACATGCTGGACATTGAGTGCTTTTCTTTCCTCAACCGCGCCCTGGAGAGCGACATGGCGCCCATACTGGTGGTGGCCACAAACAGGGGCATCACCAAGATCAGGTGGGGGCGGGCGCGTGTGTGTGTGGTGTCGTGGGGTGGGGTGGGGTGGGTGTGTTGTGCAGTACGAGCCTTACGTTTACCGTGGAATGCTGCCATCGCTCTCCATGCCGACCTGCACTGCCCACAGCACGCCTGCGCCCCCGCTCCACCCACTCACCTGGAGCTGCCCCCTCGCCTCCCCGGCGCCCGTCCCCGCCGCCGCCTGCAGGGGCACCGCCTACCGCGCCCCGCACGGCATCCCCATCGACCTGCTGGACCGCCTGCTCATCATCAACACACAGCCCTACAGCGAGAAGGAGATCCGCAAGATTCTGGACATACGGTGGGCGGGCTGTGAGCAGCTGCTGCCCTTGAAAGTATCTGGCCAGTTCTGGTTGGGCCCCGTGGCTGCAGCAGCAGTGCAGCCGCTGGGCAGCCGTGCAGCCGGTTCCGGCCCGATGAGCCGGGCTGGACGGTCTGCGGGAGCGGGCTTGGCGCGGCTTGGCCAGCTCCCCTCCTGGCGCCCCCTGCGCCTCACCCTTCCCTCCCCGCTGGCCCCTGCCTCCCCGCCCGCCTGCAGGACTGAGGAGGAGGATGTGGAGGTGGCTGACGACGCCAAGGACCTGCTGACCAAGATTGGGGTGGAGACGTCGCTGCGCTACGCCATCCAGCTCATCTCGGCGGCCGCGCTGGTGGCGCAGAAGCGCAAGGCGGCGGCGGTGGGCGTGGAGGACATCAGCCGCGCGTACACGCTCTTCCTGGACGTGCAGCGCAGCGTGCAGTACCTGCAGGCGCGCCGCCGCCGGCGCCAGCGAGTGCTGTGGAGCGGCGGCGGGCGGCCGGGCCCAAGGGCGGCCCAGGGTGGCGGGTGCAGGGCTGCGCTGTGCTGAGCTGCGGGGTCTGACTGCCGCGGTTGTGCCCCAGGGACGTTGCACTCTTCGTTGCGGTAGCCATGGCTATGTATGTTGCCGACCCTGCCTGCCTGCCTGCCTGCCTGCCTGCCTGCCTCTGCCTGCAGGAGTATGCCCAGGAGTACATGTACAATGAGGCAGAAGGGGCAGATGGGGAGCAGGACGGCGGCGCCGAGATGCAACAATAACCGCCGCCGCCCCTGGCGCCCGCCTGCTTTACCTGCCGCTCGCTGTGCTCTCTGCTGTTGCTCTTTCTCCTGCTCGCCTTTCTGCGCTGCATCTCCGACGCTGTTCCAGAGCCCGCCCTTGCTACCTGTAAGCAGGGAGCGTGCATCGTCTGCAGTTTAAGGGGAGTTGAAGAGGCATGGACCCAGCAAACCCCTCTGGGAGCAAGGGCATGAGGATCATCTGTGATTGTGGGCAGGGAGCATATGAACACACCTCTCTCAAGCGGCACTAGCTTGCGCACCGCGGGCGCATCTCCCGCTGCGCTGGCAAATCTCCCTGCGCTCCAGCGATCGCTTTTGTCACTCTACTAGAGGCGTGGGACCTTTCCAGCCTTCAATCCTTTTAATTCGCATCATGCTGCTTCAAAAACATGTGTACTTGGCGTGGCCCACCCGTACCGCCCTCGAGGGTTCACCCCCCCTCTTGGGGGCCATTTTTGCCCCTGCAGCTTTGCACATCCCTGAAGCATCTCAGTGGATCGGGGGGCCACCAGGCTGCGCCTGCTGGTCTCTCTGCGGCGGCAATCGACAGCCCCAGTCCCCACAAGAGGCCAGCCGGAACCATGTTGAGGGTCCCTGCTATCGCGGCGTGCATGCTGCTGCTGTTTGGATCGGCGACAGCGGCCAGGCTGCCAGTGGACGGGAGCGCCGCCGCCGCCGCCAGCTTGCGGCCAGGAGCTGCCCGCGAGGCGCCGCGCTTCCCGGAGAGCTACTCTGTGAGTGCTGCTGCTGTAGTCTCCTGCAACCAGCACCAGATCTGCCATGCGGTCCCTTGTGGCGTGTGCAGCAGTTGCCTGCCAAGACTGCCGCCTGCACCAACGCCACTCCCCACCCCCAGCCTCTCCCACCCTGCTCCCAACGCGTCGCCCTCCTCCCGCAGGTCAACTACACCTTCACGCTGCCCTACACCGCCCGCGTCCAGCAGCCCGCCATCTCCTACCCCGTCGCCTTTTGGCGGGACGCCAAGGCGGGACGCGTCCGCATGGACACCTATGGCTCCACACAAGTGCTCATCGCCAAGCAGGCACGGCGCCGAAGCGGCTGTCTTGTGACGCGCCAAGCGTGCAGGGCGCTTTGCCAGTGCTGCCTGCACCTGCCTGGGCCTTGTTCGCATTGCTGGTGCTGCCGCCGCCGCCGCTTCTCATGCGCGTGCCCACCCAGGCTGGCTGGCTGGCTGGCTGTGCCTGGCTTGGCTGCAGGGCAAGACCTTTGAGCTCGTGCCTCGCATTGACCGCCTGGTGGGTGGGCCTGGCCTGCCTGCCTGGCCTGCCTCGCCCGCCGGCCTGCCTGCCTGCCTGGGCTGCCTCGCGCATCTGCCTGCCTGCCTGCCGTTGCGTGCTGCCCCGACCTGTACTGCGCCTGCATGCCAATGCTGTGAGCTTGTCCCAGCCTGGCGCACCGTAGTACCGCACCGTACCGCACCGTACCCATGGTGGCATCCCCATGTGCAGGTGTGCCTGAAGTTTGGGGATGAGGAGGGGGAGGAGGGGCGCATGAGCGCGCTGCCCGACATCACCGGCTGGCAGTTTGGGGGCACCGAGGAGCTGAATGGCGAGGATGCCGATGTGTGGCGGTACGAGGCCAGGTGGGTGGCAGTACGAGCGGATCAGCCGGTGGCGGCATTGGGAGTGGCTTCAATACCAACATGCTTCTGGGTCTGCACCGATGTTTGGCAGGCGCCGCCACCCATGCAGCTCTCCTCCCATGCGCAGCCAGTCAGCCTGCGGCCGCCGATGCTGCCGCTGCCGCCTGCAGGCACGAGGCCAAGCATGTGGTGTACAAGTTCTATGCTGCTGCCGACGGCACGCCCCACCGCCTGCACATGCACGGCAACGAGTGAGTTGTGGCGCAGCCGCCGCCAGCCAGCCCGGCCGCCTGCTGCCCGGCAGCAGCCGCGCGCGGCCGGCCGGCCGCGGGGGGCTGAGGGGTGCCCGCCGGACGCGGCGCCGGCGCTGCTCTGCGCCCGCGTGCCAGGGCCCCAAGCCCATAAGGTCACTGAAACAAGCTTTTTCTTCCCGTGCTTGCCTTGCCGCAGCATGATTTCGGGGTCTCACTTCGATGAGTGGGTGGTGGACTACTCCCACTATGAGGCGGGCCGACCCCACCCCGACCTCTTCCGCACGCCTGATCTGTGCAAGAGGGAGGAAGCGGCGGCGGCGGGCGGGCGCGGGCGCGCCGGCGCGCAGATGCGCTGGGCCGCCATGGTGCCCGCCGTGCGCTACCGGGGCGACGCGCAGGTGTGTTGATGTGTGGCCCGAAGGCACGGGGGAAGGGGTGATGAAACGGGAGACTGCGTCGGCGGTTGGTTGGCTGTATGTGAGATGTGAGTTGGTGGCTGAGGCGGGGGAGGGGGTGGAGAGTGGGAGGCAGGGTGGTGTGCCGCTCCTGTACCGCTCATGTACCGCGCCTGTACCGCTGCAGTACGACGTGTTCCTGGCGGGCCACGGCGCCGCGCGCTCCCACGCCTCGCTGCCCGACTACCAGCGCCGCCGCGAGCTGTTCCACGCCAGCCGGCGCCTGATCGAGGCGCACAACGCGCGGCGGGACAGGCAGTACACGCTGGAGATGAACAGGTGTGTGTGTGTTTGTGTGCGCGTGTGTGTGTGTGGTGTGTGTGATGTTTGTTGTCAGTGATCGCGCTCTGCCGGGCAGGCAGGCAGGCAGGCAGGTGGGGGCTGCCTCGGCACAGGCTGTGCCGCGGCCCTGCCCCACCTAGTCCCTCGTCCCTGCTCACTTTGCCTGGCTGCCGGCCGCCTCCTCCGCAGGTTTGGCGACTACTCTGAGGAGGAGTTTGTGGCGCTCATGCTGCCCAAGAAGGCGGCCCGCCAGCAGCGGCTGCTGCGGGAGGGCGGCGCCGGCGGCGGCGCGCGGGCCGAGGCGGTGGGCGCGACGGCCGAGGAGCGCGGGAAGCTGGCCAGGCACCAGCTGCCGTACGAGGCCCGGGCCGACGCCACGCGGCTGCCTGCCAGCCTGACGTGGCGGGGCACGGGCGCAGACAGCGTGGGGGTCAAGGACCAAGCCACCTGTGGATCCTGCTGGTGCGCCTGCCTGCCGGGGCCGGCCTCGCGCGCCGGCCCCGCGCCTGGCAGTGCCCCCCTGCCTGCCGCGCCCCCGCCCGGGCCGCCTCCGCTGGCCGGCTGGCTTCCACAGGCGCTGCCGACACCCTCCCGGCGCCAGCGCCAGCGGTGTGCCCTCGCAGCTTCCCGTGCCCCTCCGGCTTGTGCCTCCACCGCTGCTGCTGCTCCCGCCCCCTGCAGGTCGTTTGCGGCCACCGGGGCGATGGAGGGGGCCTGGTGGCTGTCCACCGGCCAGGCGGTGTCCCTTTCGGAGCAGCAGATCCTGGACTGCTCCTGGGGCTACCGGCCGGAGAGGCCGGAGGCGAACCTGGGTGAGGGGCTGGGGTGGGGGAGCAGGAGCAGGAGCAGGGGTTGATGGGTGGCTGCTGGATTCGAGAGGGAGGCCTGCTGCTGCACAACAACGTGGGGGGGGGGGGGGGGGGGGGGGGGA